CCCTCCCAGTCTCTTCTAGAGAAGAAGTTGGGAACACGGGTGCAGGATGAGAAACTGAAGAAGTCCTTTGCTGAATGTAAACATTGCTTGGCAACAACAAAAACCACCAGCATTATTAACATTCTCAGCACAAATCCAAACCATAGCCTCATACGAGCTACTGTGAAGAGCATTAACTCTATCCCTACCAAAACCAGCACGCCTCTTCTGCTCTAGTAAACAGTTCTCCGCTCTGCAGCCTTCAGAGAGGAGGTGCAGCGAGCAGCTTTTCTGCCTTGAGAATGTGTTACTCAGAGGATTTCTGGGCAAACAAAAGATCCAATGACATATCCTTTTGCTCTTCTTCAGACTGAACAAGCCGGTAGCCCAGCAAATCCATTGCATCCTTGCACACATCTTGCACTTTTTGTATTTTCTGGAATGGAAGGGTATTCCTCCAGGCCTGGGATACATTCAGTGCATCTCTGGAGCCAATATCAAAAGCCTGCACTCCTTGCCCCTTCCCGTGGGTGATGTTGTGCACCCAGTTCCGAAGTTCTGGTGTGAAACGGAGTTCTGCAAACCTGTACATCTGGGCAGCCCTTGCTAGCGGGTCTCTGACAATGTCTTCATAGCGAACCAGCAGGTAGCGGTCTTTCAGGAAGCTGGGAATGGCGTGACTGCCTGCCTTGTAAATCTCAACATGGCTTTTGCAGATTACTTGCATTGTATTGTAGGGCCCCATTTCTCCTTTTGTCCTTTGGGACCCCGCGACAATGTCACTGTCACGTTTCAGGTCTGCCACTGTATTCTCTCGCGACCTGAACACAGCCCGAGGATCACGGACCAAGTGGATGATTTTGAGGTTCAGGGATGGATCGGTGAGAAGGGGGTAGAGAACTTTCAGGTCAAAGAACCGAACCTCTTTGACGGCAATGTGGCTGTAGGTTTTACAAGCTTCCTCCACCTTGCTGAATGGGTACTTGCCACACATGGTTCTGCAATTGCCCGCCGTGATTATGTCGCTGCGACTGAATGAGTCACAGGCAGGGGGGGAGCACAAGGCTCGGCTTGTCTCCCACTGAAATAAATCTGACTTTTTCTTCTGGCTGGACATGTAAGCATCGAACACAGACATGTCACACAGAAAGACTGACCTGACCAGGTCCCGCACTGCCATGTGTAAGACTTCGGCACTGTTCTGGTGCATCTTAACCCACACATGCCATGCAGGCTCCATCAGGTAGAAGACGCTGGGGTGCTGGCTGAAGATCTGTCCAGTGAAGGAAGATCCTGACCTCCAGGAGGAGAGAATGAGGATGTGGACCGGAGAAGGCTTTTCTTCCACTGGGGCATTGTTGCTGCAGGGTAGGAAGTGGAAGTGGACCAGTAGGAAGGACAGAACTGCCAGAATCAGGAGCACCTGCACTCTTCTAGACTTTATCATGCTTGCAAGGGACCTGCAGAGACAGAGGAAATTCAGCATCACAGGATCATGAAGAGGGCAGGATGTGGTGAATCAGGCTCCTGCCAATCCCTCTGCAGGTTCAGGGCTTCTGAAAGCTGCCACACTACCAGTGACACTGCAACAACCACTGCACAGGGTGTATTTGGAAAGGACATAAATACTACAGGGCTGAAAGCTTTCCGTAACAAAACTGCTGTTTGCCAGTAAGCCTCTCTAACACAGTCGTAGAATATAACCAAAAAGCTTGTCTGCACTTTCATCAAAGTTGAAGAGTTAGTTCAGTGTATTGAAATAAGTCAGTACACACAAATGAATGCTTAGCGTACCCAATACCTGCAGACATGATCCTGGCAATTTTTATGGAGGAAAGATGGAACAAGCAGTTGGGAATTCAACAGTTCCACATTGTCACTTTTAAGCTCCTGCTCTGACCACCATTTACAATTATTTTTATACCAGAATGCTGTAAAAATACAATGTAGGTTTCCATTCCTTTTGCTTATGTTCCTTTTGAGATGTCAGGAAACATTATTGTAATCACAGGCAAAAACTCACATACCAAAGGAAGTCAGTTGGCACTGTAATAGATCCAAGAACAATAATATGTCCTCCACAACCAGAGCATCACAGGCATTTTTGCTAGAAAGGCCCACAAGGATTTGTCTCATCCATCTTTGTGCGGGCAGGCTTACCTACAACTAACCTCTTTCTTCCCTAAACTCCTTCATAGAATCACAGAACGGTTTGGGTTGGAAGGGACCTTAAAGACCATCCAGTTCCAACCCCCCTGCCATGGGCAGGGACGCCTTCCACTAGACCAGGTTGCTCCAAGCCTCATCCAGCCTGGCCTTGGACACTTCCAGGAATGGAGCATCCACAGCTTCTCTGGGCAATCTGTTCCAGTGCCTCCCCACCCTCTCCCGGAAGAACTTCTTCCTGATATCTAATCTAATCCTCCCCACTTTCAATTTAAACCCGTTCCCCCTGGTCCTGTCACTACAGGCCCTTGTAAAAAGTCCCCCTCAGCTTCCTTGTAGGCCCCCTTGAGTTACCTTTTGAAGTCTGTCTCGTGCTACCACCCCGTCCAACCCCACTCATCTTGGAGGTCTTTTATGGGAAGAGCTACAACACAACGCATTAGTCCAACTCAAAGGTCTGCCCAAAGCTGGCTCCTTCTTTCTCGTACTAAACCTGTTTTCTGCCTGTTGAGGATGACTTGATTATTGGAAAATGTCCATTGTGCTGCCTGGGGACAATTCAGAGTCCATGTACCTGCTGGCATGGGAATCTGCAGCAAGTACACCACTAGGGATGGGATCTGAGGCAAAAAGGATTCACTTGATTTTTAAAAAAGGTACATTAAAGCATGCTCTGTCGACAGGTCCTCTTTGTGTGCCCTCCTCCCCACCCCCAGCCATGCCTGATGGCGCCTTCAGCGTAGGTGGGTGCCCACAGCACCCCTGGGGTCAGGCTCCTCAGGTGGCACTCAAGTCCAGTGTGGGCCGTGGGGCCAGGCTGACAGCTTAGCTGTGCTGCAGCCGAGACAGGCCTCTCGGGCCAGTGCAGCTGCTTTACATTTCCCAAGGGGAACTAAAATTAAAAAACCTCAGCCATAGTCAGTCCTTCCATGTGCTTCCACACTCTGACAGGATAGGGAGAGCAGGGCCTTTGGGGTTGCAGGGCAAGCTGGAAGTCCTCCTGGATACAGCAGGGCTGGAGCTCAGCTCCTTACAGCTTCGTACCCTGCTTTTGTGCAGCCCACCATTGCACAGAATTCAGGCAGCCGTGCCCGCACAGGGCCGCTGCTTCCCTGTTAAAGCCGCAGAGGAATATAGTGAGCCCCAGCTGGCCACAGCACGGACGCTGCTGCCCTGCTGCTTGCTTTCCTCGTCATCTTCTGGATCCATGGTAACGCGTGAGTGTTCCCGCCAGAATTTCCCTAAGCCCCCCCTTATGCCCTGCCTCAATTTCTCTCTGCAGCAAAGCTTTCAGGCTCATTTGCTTGGAGGTGCCTCCTCCCATAATTTCCGTCCCTGTAGCGCTGACGTTTAGATTTCCAGGTACAGTCACCCACCAACGAGGACAATACTCATCTTTCCCTCCTGCAAATATGCGTAAATGGGCTTGTTTAGCCAATCTACCTGCCGTGCACTCGTTTTGAGCTCAGGGTTTATAAGGCACCAATTGCAAATTCTCAGAGCCAGGACTATACCCAGCCCAATGGGTAAGCCTGGTTGTTGCCAATAAGTGCTACCACAACGTGATTTTTATTTTAGTAGTGTCTTGCAAGGATGGGGGCTGTGCATTTACCGATGGACCACATCCTTCTGGTCCCCTGGAAAAGAAGCCCATGGGGTTTTTTTGGGGGGAGGGGTTATAAAAATGAACTGTTGTGTTCAGGTCTGACCAGAAGCTGATTCATATCGACATTTGGACCAAGCCTAGGAAGAGCTGCAAACAAAGCCTGTTGTAAAAATAAGTCATATATCAGCTTCCTCCTTGCAAATGAACACATCAGTGTTTACCAAAATTCCTGGCTTCCAAATGAACTTTGATTTTATCACCTCCATCTGGCACCATTAATATCGTTGTTCCAACTCCTGACAGAGTTCCTGGACTATAGCCAGAAGCTCTTAATTGAGAAAAACTCCGTTGAGCAATCATGAACACTGGCTTGAAGATACCCAGGTAGATTTAAAACTACAGAAACCATTATTTCTCTGGAAACCTGTGTGTGAATAGTCTGAGTATCACTCAAAGACAATGGATTCATGGTTTTTTGAAAACAAGGGTGTGTTTTTATCTTGAATCAAACCAGGGTGGGACAGCAGGATATTTTAGGCATTTCACAGAGAATGCAGGCCATCCCGGTAACTGCTCTTGGTGTCTGCCTGGGAAATGGTCTCATGTGAGGCCGTACCCTCAACAGCTTCTTCCCTCTTATACAAGAAGTAGTGATGATCGTTACCCTGACCAGTCTGTCCCACAGGGAGGGAAGAAAAGCTGAAATCAGTTGTTCGTGCTTCGTGAAGTGGAATAAAGGAGCAGCAAAGAGCGGTAGAGGTTCTATCAGACATTTCCTAGTATGAACAAAATGCTAACTTTATAATCTTATTTTCCACCTCTGTATCTCTTGATCATGGCAGCTGGGATATTTCTAAACAAAGGTCTTCAGCTTTCTACAACAAACATCCAGAGGCACAAGTTCATTCAAGATTCAGTTCATTTCCTATTGCAAAAGTGAAATACAAAGCCCTCACAGATCTGAAAAGTAAAGATCAGCCCAGAATGATTGAGGCAATCTCAGCTTCAGAACAAAAAAAGCACACTGTTCTTGTTGGCTGGCAGAAAGATGAGCCAGGAGTTGGCTGGGAGCAGAAAGAACAGGTCGAATCTCAAGGCACTAAAGGATGAAGAACAAATACTACTGAAAAATACAACAATCCAGTGTCACCATGTTAGAGTCTCTCCAAGAGAATGCAAAGAACTGGGATCTGCCTGCCTGAGCAGCTAGAGTCTCCAAAAAAAATGAATAGAGTTTTCAACTTTTCCAGAAACACACAGGGGCCTTGGAAAAGCTTGGTCCTGGGAAAGAAAGAGCATTACAGAAAGCAGAAGGCAGCCCCAGGGAGACACACCGACACACTCTCGAGCACAGGCGGCATGTCACCGGAGCACAGGGTTGTTGAACCTGTGCATGTCGAGGGGAGGTGGGAGTGTGACAGTACAGCCCAAAATACCTCACACTATGCAGAGTGTGGCTGAGTGCTCTGCAAGGCTGCGGGGCCTCTCCAGACCTGTACAGATCCCTCACCGCGGCAGTGGCAGTAGTGTAGCAAAGAAGATCTGGTGCCAAGGAATCCAGGGCCAAGCCCCAGACACCAGTATTTGATGGCATTAGTGGTTGATTATAGTTTTATGAAATCCTTCCTCAATTTGGCCTGTTCAGCTTCTGCAGAATTAGAAATAACATCTACCCATTCAGAGGAGAACAGATGGCATGACTGTCACCAGTGGGAAATGCTGAGAAGGGGCACTGAGAAGACAGAAGCAGGAACTACCCTCTAAGCCAAACCAACAGCTTGTCTGCAGGAGGAATCCTGTAGCAATTTACTGGCATCCATATGTTTACAGTGTTTTACAAAAATTATCTTACTGCTGAGAGTAAGCAGTGGATAGAGTTCTGGACACCCAAGTCTCCACATCAGATATGAAGGAATGGTTGAAAGTCTCACCTTGAGGAGTCCTCTTGAAGCACCACCAGACCTGGTTCAAACAGAGTTGCCCTCGCACACGTCCACGGCCGTGGTACGCACTCCTCCAGGCAGCCACCTGAACGGCTGTGCCTTCATGGACTGGCACCCTGCCTTCATGCCGAGCTCTCATACACACATGTACTCAGCTCTCACCTATACCTGTGCCTGCTCCCTCCTGTCCCTTTCATTTGTGTATGTCCCAGCTCTAGGAGTGACTACAATGCCCGCCTACTCCGACCAACCTGAAAACTCCACCCTGCACTAAGCAGCAGGGCATGGGAACGGCAGTTTCTTGCGCAGGCACGTATGACTGAGCACTGCTAGTAAAGGAGAAGGGAAATTCATGAATGAGTCCAAGAGGTGCTTTTACGTTAAGCCCCACTGCAAGCCCCAGATAAGATTGCTGTGCGTAAAAGGAGAAAGAGGGATGTCTGTGGAGTGCCGGAGCAAAGGACAAAGAGGAACCCTTGTTGCGAGGAGGACCAGCATGCCCACCAAGAGCACAGAGATAGGGTATATTTGCTACCATTGCTCTGGCCGCTTGCGCTGTTGTCAGGAGATGCAGATTCTCCTTCACTCTATTCTGCCCGTGCCGTGCTTGGGTTAAACATTTGGGGGCTGGGAAAGGAAATTGTGTGAAAGGAAAAGCTGTAAAAGGAGCAGCTGGACTTGGCCTGTTAATGATTCACAAGGGTGCTGGAGCTGCAGCGGGGCTGTGCCAGG